CTTCTATACCTAAACGATCTTCCCTTTTAAAGATCATATTACCAAACATTTCTTTTCTTTTCTTGTTTATCCATTTCTATTTTTATATCCTCTATACATAAATTTTGTTATTACTATATTTATTTCTTTCTCAATCCATATTTATATCCCAATACCCAACATTTCTTATTACCGTATTTAGTTATTATCTACTTCCTTATTCATATCCCTATACAATTTTAGGATCGACCGAAGTCGCGTAAAGCATAATTCCTCTATAATCCAGCCGAATAGAATAACGCGTGGTCCCACTAATTTCTATGCAACCCCAAATTAACGGACAGCTATCTAAAGTGGTGCTGAAACCGCCAATCGAAGCCTGAACACGAGGCATTTGTTTATTATCAGCGGTTGTTAACTTGGTATCTTTCTCAATGTTCCATGAAAAGCCCTTGTGCAAATAACGATGTTCTGCAATTTCTCCAATTATGGAAAACCGATGTGATTGATTCAATGGCTTTGTACTAACGAAGAAACTGTCTCACTAAGGATCTCCAAGCTAACAGGCCGTTGAGTGAGCATCGCGGAGTTGGGGGAATAATTAGTATAAGGAGGTGATGAAATGAGTATAAGAAGAAGGATAATTGTAGGGAAAAGGGTTGGTTATAGGAAAGGAGTCGTGTTGTCAATAGAGTAGTCTAATTAATTTATGTATGTTGAATTATGTATTTAAAGACCTGAATTTTTGCCTTTAATAAAGTTCTTCAGACTTCGATCTCACATACTTTTAAATATTTGATAAGTTTTTGAACTTTTATTTCATCGCATTATCACTTCATCGTGATTACTATATCGCGAATTCCTTATATTTCAAATAATTCTTTATTTATCATATCTTATAATTATTACAACAATAATGCTATCCCATTATAACCCAATACTCCATTGTTAGAAATCGTTATCTCACTTAATGGTCTCTTAAATAAATTATTGATCAATTGACCCTAAATATTCGCACATTAATTTTTATCATTATCTATTTTGTTCACTATCGCTGACCTAAACCCGGCACCCACTTACTGACGCTCTCCCAATCCGATAGTAACAACGGTATTTACACACTTCCAAAAAAGGATATTGGGTTACTATGATTTGAAATAAAAACCCGTTTACTAATGATAAAAAAATTTTTTATGTTGAAATTGTGATATAAGAGATAATGACAAATTATTGGACCAGACCCAATTTTCAACTGCTAGAACATTCATTAATTGTATTGCTTTTAACTAACATAAATACTTTTCAGAAGGCATGTAAAAAAAATATCAAGATTATCGCAAAGAGAATAGTCATCTATTTATACTTCAAAAAAATTACATCATAATTACATATCTACGTATTGTATTACAAGTATTAATATAGAATTTCATAACAAATCAGATGTGTTAGAGTATTTTCATTTCATTAAAATAAAGCGCATAGCAAATAACATTACTGTATTATTGCTGATTAACTCTATATTATATGATATTTATCATTCGTCATAGGTTTCGTCAATCGTCACAGGTTTCGTCAATCGTCAATTCGTCAATTAGAAGTTGCCTGACGAAATGGTTTCGTCATTCGTCAATGACGAGTGTTTCGTCATTCGTCAAGCATCTTTATTTGACATTGGATGTAAATTGATATTATGCAATAAATAATTCGGAAGAACTATTTTCATATAATTAAAAGTTTCAGAAATGTTTAATAAAAATTCCTTATTGAGAACTTATTCAAGTTAACCATTAGAAAAGCTTCGTTTACCTCTCACTGCTAATTAAATGTTTTTAATAATTGTAATATACAGCAATTTGTAGTAAAGATGGCATTAACCTTTTTTAATTTATACTCGGCCATCTTTAACAAATTAAAATACACGTAATATAAGAAAGAATTCTTTAATATTCACTGAAGGTGAAATTCACCACGATATGCTTTAAATATTATTATATGATCTATAGAGAATTTTACCACAAATTTTAAAGCTAAAATTAAACGTTAGAGTTAGGGCTTAATGATTAAATTAAAATGGAAATTTAATCTACTAATTATCGATTATCCAACCTGTTTTGAGAAACAACATACACGGTGAATTTCACCTCTGTGAGCATTAAAATCGTTAAGAAATTAATTTATTGCTTATATCAATATAAAATTTAAATCAAAAAAATATAAATTTACATTACAAAAAAAAATAAATAATAGTAACCTATTTTCTTAATTTTAGTCTAAATAATAACTCATCACAAGTTGTAAAGATATTAGATTTAGTTTTGAGTGGAGCATTCATATCAACTAATTCAACATCATATTTTCTATAAATCATAGTTACTAAACATTTTAATTCAATCATTGCTAATTTCCTTCCTGGACACATACGCAACCCACCTCCAAACATCACAAATGAATTTTCAATATCATCTCCATTTTCAGATATTTCGCCTATATTTTTATGGTTTTCTAAATCTTCATGTTCTTCATTAGTCAGATAATTATAAAATCTATCAGGATTGAATTTTAGTGGTTCATTCCATGCTTCAGGACGCTTAGCCATAGCACCATAAAATAGCATAAAGTCAGTATTAGCAGGCCAAATATATCCACAGATTTCATCTTTTTCAGAGTTTAAACGAACATTTGTGGAAAGTACAGGTTGTATTCTAGATATTTCTTTAATTATTGATTCACAATATTTAAGATTATTTAAATCTTTAAGTGTGATTTTTCGTGACATATCATCTTGGAATATTGAGTCAAGTTCTTGACGGAAACGGGCTAGAACATGCGGATGATGTGCGAGATAGTAAACTATAAAGCAAAATAAATTTGCGGTCTATTAAGGTAAAAGAATAAAAACATTTTAGCATTGAATATTAATAAATTGTAATTATTATAATAATAATAATAATTAAAAAAGAACTTACAGTATCAGTTCCCGCAATGAATGCATCGATTAAATTTCCGCAAATCTCGTCATTATTCATAGGCCTGATTACAGCATCATCGTACTTTTCTACAAATTTCCCTT